TATATTTTACAGGCAGCGACGAGGACTCCGAAGAAGATGGCGAAGAAGAAATTGGACTCCAATCCACCATAGTCCCCAGGGTGGTACAAATGTTCGCGGCATCGGAGGATGAGGGTGAAGGTGGGGAAGTAGACGCATTTATTTCTTTTTCCTGGCCTCCGACATCCAATGATCACCCACCTGTCCCTAACTCTTCCGGTCCCATTCCTTCCACATCCCATGTTCCTGATTATTCTGTTCCGCCTTCCTTACCTACCCATACTCCCTCGTCCCCATCCTGTCCCATGTCGGAGCCAGGAAATAAATTTGATTTTAAATGGAGGGGGTTCCCGCAACCTCAAACTCCTCCTGAGCTGAGGAGGGAACCGTTCTCCCAGATAAACTGTGGGCCCACGGTTCCATATGCGAGCCCATATGACGCATTTACTGCCATATGGGATCGCGATATAATGGAACACATTGCCATGGAGACGAATCGATATGCACAACAGCTTGCAACGGTCATGCTGGTGGACGGTTCGCTCTGTCCGAGCAGCCGCATCACCAAATGGAAAGACACCGACGTAAGTGAATTGCACGTGTATTTCGCTATAATCCTCGCTACCGGGATTGTGGTGAAATCACATCTCGAGGAGTACTGGAACAGCACGCTGGACATTTTCAGTACCCCCGGGTTCACTGCGGCGATGACGTATGACCGCTTCATGCTGTTGAGCAAATGTCTCCACTTTCAGGATAATGACGGTTGCGATCCTGAACTGATGACACGGGCTCAGGCCAAGTTGTTTAAGGTGCAGCCAATTTTGGATCACCTTAACAACAAATTCCAACAATTATATGTTTTGGGTCAAAACGTGTCTGTGGATGAAAGTCTGACCATGTGGAAGGGTTGGTTAGATATTAACCAATTCATCCGCAACAAAGCAGCTACAGTAGGAATTAAAACATACGAGGTGTGTGAGTCCCAGACTGGTTACTTGTGACGCTTTGAAGTCCACGCAGGCCATGATACCTCCTCAGACCCACAAGAGGACAGTCCAGTTTCTGGGAAAGTGCCAGCTCTTGTGCTCAGACTTTTAAATGGTCTTGAGCATAAGGGCCACACGATTTGGATGGATAATTTCTACAATTCTCCCGCGCTTGCGCGAGAATTGAAAGTTCGGGGGTTTGACTGCGTGGGGACCTTACGAACGAATCGTCAGTTTGTTCCCATTGAGCTGACGAATCTTACGAAAAAAGACATGGCGATAGGTCAGGTGAACGGTTGCACTTCGGGGGATGTGGACCTCATCGTATACCGGGACAAAAACCGTGTGGCATTTGTCTCGACATACCATGGGCTAGCAACCGCGATGTGCGGCGATACACACAAGCCCACCGTCATACCAGACTATAATGTCTGTATGGGGGGGGTTGATCGCAAAGACCAGATGCTCGCCATGTACCCCAATGAAAGAAGGCGGAACAAAATCTGGTACAAAAAGTTTTTCAGGAAGCTCTTGAATGCTAGTGTTCTAAATGCCTACATACTCCACAAGGCACACCGCTCAATTTCTCACCGAAATTTTCGCCAAACTTTGGTGAGGGAATTGTTGGCAGCACACACACCACCAGTTTTTTTAAAATAATCTGTTACATAAGTAGTAACTTAATACAGTCAATTATTCTAAAAATAATTGACTGTATTAAGTTACTACTTATGTAACAGAATCAGTAACATGAGAGCTGATGTTTATAGAACACAGTACGGGTTTTATTTGTATTTTTATTAGCAGCTAAAGCAAAACTATTTTCCCTTACCATAATTAAGGGCGTTGGATATTTCAATATCCCTTAGAGGACGCGACGAAGATGACGAGGAAGTAATTCTAAAAGAAGAAAATAAATTATTAAGAATCAAAATATTAAGTAGACACTTCTGCACATAGAATATATATTTATTAATAGGCACTCACAGACGCCGTTTAGCCCCCATGTCATTGTGGTCCGATCTGAAAAAATAATGTTGTTTTTTGATTTCTATCGTAATAGTTATATTCGAACAGTTAACAGTTCAAAGTCAAATACTATCAATATTTAATAAAGCAATAAAGGAAAAACTTACGCATTTCGCTTTCGGGACGTTGGAGTCCGATTAGGTGTGGAGGTTCCACTCCCTCCAACTTCAACGTGTCTGTAAAACATAAATAGTGTTAAAAATACGTTATTTTATGACCAGTTACGAAAAGTTTAGCTTCAAAATATGAATATAAGTAAAAACTTACAAAGCAGGTGAAGGAACTGAGCAAAGCTCCATATCAACTACTGCTGGTTGGGCCGCTGCAGCTCGGTCCTCCTGAGGGCTCAGCGGCTGGGTCGGGTGGTTGCCGGTGAGGAGGTCCATGGACGACCACAACGACACCGGCACGGGACTAAAAAGAAAGTTAAATTCAATGCCCTGCACGTGAATCGAGTAACAAAACCAACTTCGAAGTGCTTACCCTCGCCTTGCGGCAGGCAGTACTCGAGGTCGCCGCTGAGTCAGCGGCCGCTCTAGAGGCCTCCCCACCGGCAACTCCCCCACCATGCCACAGTAAACTCTAAAATATTAATGCAGAATATTAATGTTGCTAAAAAAAAACGAAGAAACTTGTTAGTTGTTAAATTTGTTATTACGGATCAACAGCAGAAGGCCTTTCGGTGTGGCCAGCACCGCTAGTGGGCCCACCACGCGTCCGCGCACCACCAGTGTGCGCATGCGCCCCTTCACCACCAGTGTGCGCATGCGCCCCTTCACCACCAGTGTGCGCATGCGCCCCTTCACCACCAGCGTACGCACCACGCCCACGCCCACGGCCACGAGCACGACCACGTCCACCTCTTTAAAGAAAAAAGCAAAAACAAAAAGCATGCAAACCAAAGAGAAAATAAACACAAAAATGCAAGAGATACGCGAGACATGAATGCAAAAGGTGCCCTTAGAGCTAATTTAGTAATGTCCATGCGTAACTTTTTTAACTTACTATAAGACGTCTAGAAAATATGTAAATATTATTTTTGGAGAAATTTTTTGAAAAAAAAATTGGTTGTCAAAGTTAAAAATAAAATTATTTATTTTTAAATTTATCATCGTGCAACAAACACTTTTTGTCCCAAACAATTTTGGGCTTGGACGCTCTTCAAATGCCTTTATCTCGGCCCAGGTTCGTCTAAGTCCAAAATTGTTCAGGAAAAAATTGTTTGTTTGGGTGCCCCCCCGACACGACGCAAACGAAGAAAAAAGAAAAAAGAAACAAAAATGCTGTATTTTTATCTTGGTACCTACTTGGTACTTCAAATACCTAAATATCTTTGCTCAGGTTCATCCAAGCCCAAAACTTTTTACGACAAAAAGTGTTAGTATATGCGCCCTCTACATGATGCAAACATAAAAAATAAAAAATTACAAAAATTCTGCTAAGTTTTTTCGCTCCCATATTTTATATTTATTTATTTTATTTATTTAATATTCTTTATTGCACACCATACAAAGCATACAGAAATGACATACTACAAAAAAGTATGCAACTTCCACTATATCTCCACAGTAACTAAATGTTTATGCAATTAAAAGTGATGTAACATTACATGCAAAATATTTAAAAATAACTTCAAACAGAAAATACAAAAGCGTATCTATAATTTCTAGCATGCCCGACATGCCGCCGTTATGACGTCATCAACTGCCAAAACCCTGTCTGTGCCCCTGCCGACTGACGGTAAAGAAATAAACTTCACGTATTTAGACCCAAAATTAAAGTTTTCAAAGCTAAATACACGTTTACCATTGTCATCCATTGCAAATTAATTACATTAGTAGCTTAAATTCTCCAAAACATTACGGTTTCATTCACTTTTTAGACCAAATATTGCAGAAATAAAAGTACGTTCATAGTTCGTTAGACGGCTATGTCGTTGGTTTGGCCTGGTTTTTACAATTAAATTAGCAAAATTATATGTTTCCCAGTAATAAAAATGTGAAAGTACTTACCTTTCCATGGTTTCTCCTTCAAATCACAACAAATTTGATTCAAGAAAACTTATCAAAGGCGTGACAAAACCGGAGTCGGTTGGTTTGACAGCGTCCAATTTGAAGTGCCGATATTTTTTTTTTACGGAGCAAAGAGTAACAGTAAAGCAGTTTGACACTGAGTATATATTATTAGTCTATGATTTCAAGTGTCGCACCTAAAAAACGCATCGTAGTTCCGTCGTAAAGAGCGCGAAAACATAAACAGGAAACGATGCCGACTGCTGGTCGGCTCACAGACGCGCAAATAATTTGACGTGCCGACTGCTGGTCGACGCACAGACAAGCACAAATTATAAAGTTGTATGTACAAGACATGCAGACAAGGGGATAACCAGAAACTTGCTGTGAGGAAACTTGATTTTATTAGTATGGCTTTTTAAAAATAATTATTAGTGATTTTGTGGTGGTGATAGTTATAAAAGGTTAAGAAATAATTGAACAATTATGGGGAAAACCTGTATTGTGAAAAGTTGTCCAAGTGGACGTAAACTAAAAACTTCAAAACATGGTTCGCCTCAACTTCTGTCTTTTTTGCGACCTACTGTATGTTGAGTAGTTTATTTTGACTTATTTATTTAATTTACGACACCCTGATTGAGAAATCGAATTAAAAATAATTCAATCCATGCAAAGTGTATGTTTATATATTATTTAACTCGAATCATGTTATTTCAAATTGTTTTATAATAATTTCAAATTAGATTTCTTAATCAGGATTTAACGCTTCTTTAATGTTTAATCAACACTTTTTTTATTTTGTATTATATTAAATTATATTTACAGACAACAGCAAGATTAGACAAGTGGCAAATGTGTTTGGGTATTAAATTAAAAGCAACTGATAATATTTGCCATCTTCATTTTAAAGAAGAACATATAAAATTGTATGACAAGTTTATGATTGACGGAGAGCTCAAGATTATTCCAGCAGTGAAAAAAATGCTAAAAAATGAAGCTTTTCCAACAATCGAGCATCAATTTATTCCAATACCAGCATATGAGCTCCAAGCAAGTATTATTGAACCACAAAAATCAACTTCATGCCACAATCACCGTGGAGACGACCAGCAGGATAGTATGCAAAACTATCCTGCTGGTCGTCTCCAAAAATCTGTATAATCCTAATAATGCTACATATTACAATGAACAAATGGAACAGGACTTGGAAGAATCTCTGTTGAGTCAGCAGTCCAATGATGATTTAAATAATAACGTAGCAAAAGAAAGAACTATACAACCAATAGAGAGTTTTAGAGATATCCTGAAATGTCCAATGCTACCATCTTTTTGGATGCATGTAGAGAAACCAGACGGACTAGAATTTCTGCGAATGGATCCATCAACCAAGGAAACAAGAAATTATATACGTCTAAATGAGGATTTATCAGTTACTGTAAGTATTTATTAATTAATGTATGGATAAAGTAATTAATTTTTTAGTTACAATAATCATTAATAGCAACTTAATTGCAGGTTATTTTTTCTAATGACGAAGAACTGTCGCTTTATGTAAAAATTAATTCTTTCAAAAATCTTTGTGAGTTCTTAAAATCTGTAGAAAGATGGCCATAATGCATTGGTACTCAAATAGACAGTAATAAGTAAGAATATTTTTTTACACATAAAACAAAGGAACTATAAAAAGTTTTACACATCTATAATACTTAAAAAAAAATACATAAATTTTAAGGCACTCAAAATTGAGTAAAGGTGTGATTATAAGTGGCGATGCTTACCAAAGAAATTAAAGAAATCCAAGATGTAAATCATGTCGTATTTTAAGGAAACGCTTACAAAGCCGTAAATCAACTTCAATTATTTTAGAGAAAACGACAGCTCTAAAACGGCGTGCTTCAAACCTTGTTAAACAAAACAAACGTCTAAAAAGAATGGTAAGTTTTTTTTTTATTTCATTGAAAACGTCTAATCTCTATGAAAATTGCAAAAATTTATCTTCAGGGTAATAAGGTATTGCAGGTACTTTCTTTCAAACATTTTATTTATCATTTTACATCCACATATCTTTTTGGAAAAATAGTGATGACATGTACATATGAGTTTTAAATTAAATCTTTTGGTAAATTATTCATAATGTATATATTAATTGTACATTAATTTTTTATTCACAACATTAACTGTTTGTACATAAAAATTGTACATTTAATCTGTTGTTCTAATATAAGTGATTTATACATTGTTCATTGTTGATTCGTTCAAATGAAATTACTTAGCTTTAGAAAATCATAATTATATATAACAGAACATAAATTTTGTACCATACCAACCACATATGAATAAAATTATTATACCAAATCTTTCTTCTTATTAAATAATGTAGATTAATTCATCAATAACATAGTTGATTGTTTTATAAATAAAATAATAACTTTAAATATTATAATTATATGTGAAAAAATGTAATTTTAAATTGTGGTTTTCGAAGTTAATGATGTTGCTAAGTGTGCAATATTATTAGAATAAGATTTATACTACTCATTTAAGAATTTTAATTTTTTCTTAATTCAGTTGAAGCCTCGAAAGATGATTGCCATTGCACTATAAATAATTAGGTTAATCAGTAATATAGATCCAATTGTTTTATCTACTCTGTAATATGGCACAATTTATTTTATGTTTTTGTTATTCCGCAATGTTAATATTTTATTTTTTCTTTACAGAAAAATGGGCTAAAAGAAAAAGTTTTTATGGCGAAGTCTAAGTGTGCTCAAAAATCACAGGCTGTACTACAAGAAGCTATTAAAAATATACCACAAGAATTTCAAACTGTTGTAATTTCCTGTTTCGAAGCTTCAAAGAAAAAAACACCAAAAGGACGACGATACACATTAAAATAGATTTATGAATGCTTGTTGATACGTTTAAAGAATCGAAATACGTATAGATTTTTGCGTAGTAGAAATATTTTACCGCTACCATCTTTAGAAATATTGAGTAAATTCATTCGAAAAATTAGTGGCTCTGCTTACGGATTTCAACCGGCTACTTTTCATAGTCTAAAAGAAAGATGCGAAGCAATGACAAAAGTAGAGAAACATGGAGTTATTTTGGTCGACGAAATGAAACTAAGTGAAGGCGTTTATTTTGATCAACATTCTATGAAATTTAGTGGTTTTGTAGTTCTTGGACAGCATACCCCGGAAGACTTGAAAAATAAGACAGCAGATCATGCCTTAGTTTTTAAGTTTGTACCCTTCAGAGGTAGATGGGTTCAAGCTTTAGGCTGCTTCCTTTCTAAGAATGCTTGCAAAAGCGAACCACTTCATAAGCTTCTTTTAGAATGTATTGTACTTGTGGAAAATAGTGGAATCTGCATTGATGCTGTAGTCATGGATGATGCATCGTGGAATAGAGGGGTTTGGAAAATTTTCGGTATTGACGACAAAAACATTAGCTGTGAACATCCTTATGATAGGTCACGACGATTGTGGATGATTTCGGATTTTAATCATTTATTAAAATGCTTCCGAACATCTACTTTGGATGACAATTTACAGGAATTCCAGGTATAATAAAAAGTAATGCTATATACAGTAAACAGAAGCACAGAAGATTATTATAAATAGTGTTATTGATGTTACAGACCCCTTATGGAATAGTCAAAAAGAAGCATTGGGAAGCTCTCTTAGAAGAGGAGAATTATCGTCAGCCCAATATGAAAATTGCCTACAAATTGACACCTGCCCATTTAAAACCTAAAGGCTTTCAGACAATGAATGTGCCTCTTGCAACACAAGTATGTACATTTTTTCAAGTATATTTTTTTTTGTATTGAATGAATAGACTAAAGACTATGATCGATTTTAGATCCAGACGCTTGTTTGCTTTTATTATATTATTTTTATTCACTTTATTTTAGGTGTTTGGTCACGAAGTATCAGTTGCAATGGCTCATTACCAATCTGTTTGCGACAAATTAAAAGATTCTACACCAACGCAAAAATTTATTGATGTTGTTTATAAATTAATAAAAGCTATGTCATCACGCGAGCCAAAAAAAGCTCTGTATGTGAAGTAAGATTGCTGTCAAAAACAAGTAAGGACATTTATTTAGTAATACATAACATTTAAATGTTTTACCAACTACTGAATTTTGTAGTATTTTCTGCATGACATTTGTTATCATTGTCAGTTCTATTAGATGCTGCATGTCATTTAAACTACAAATGTTCACAGAAACAACAGAAATTGTACAGGAGTAATATTTTTCTGTTTTTGGATCCATGCTTTGTTGAAGTTTTAAAGGCCTTACAACTAATTAGAATTATACTTTTCTAGGCAATTTTGGATTTCTTACAATTTCTTGAAGATTGGGAGAAAGTAGAAAAAAATACCTGTATCAAGGAGTACGTTACTAGGATTAAAAGTAACATTGCACGCAACACTACAAATATCGAAAATGTTATACATGGAATGTAATTATGAGTATTTAATGACAGCAACTTTGTCACAAGATCCTTTAGAGGTAATTATACAATATACAATTTTATATTCAATTATAATTGATTTCACTCATTTTATTTCTTTATAAACAATTATTTATTTGGAATTTCAGAGATTCTTTTCTGTAATGCGACATTCGTGTGGAGGAAACGACCACCCTGATCCAAAAATGTTTGCACAAGTGTATCGTTTGGCTTCTTGTTTTTCTCTCGTACGTCCTCCAAAAGGATGTAATGTATCAGGGAAAGACCTGCTAAAAACTTTATTAGGAGCTCGAGGAATTTTAACTTCTCCCAATAAAGACAAGGAAATATGGCTTCAAAATATTGATATTATGGTTGAAAGTTCTGAACCATTATTGGAAGGTTCTTTAATCGATGAAGACCACGATTACAATGAGGCTGTAACATGAAGCAAATACAAAGAGGAGACGTTGTAATTAAATTTCACTATGTAACAACGCGTGACAATTTGCGGGGTGAGGGGATGCAAAGCCCCGCCCACTACACTATCTACATCTACCGATAAATAGTAAAACTACTCGAATCTTTCCATATCGATGATGCAATGTAGCTTAGCTAACTTGACGGTAGATGGCGGCATGTCCACAAAATGTTATAAATTATAAAAATAATATTTTGGCGATTAAAATTTCTTTATGTCTGAGTGCAAAACAAATTTCAGCACCTTCGTATGATTATTTTATCATTACTGAGCTCTACGTACCTTTATATTTTTAGTTCACAGGACACAAAGTGTCGCCATCTAGTGTGGAATATATTTAATTATATTTGAAAGCCGACGCAAAGAGATTTTTCTAGAACTATTTTAATAAATTAGGTGTAAAATTACTTACAAATGAAACGTGATGCCATCCATAGCATTGGAGCGTCTATCTCATGAAGCAAATACATTGAGACACAGAAATTTTAATCGCCAAAATAATATTTTTATAGTTTTCATAATAATTTTGGGAACAGGCCGCCATCTATCGACAAGTAAACCTCATAAAAAATAACAAAAAGACAGGGCCGCAATTAGAATTCAATTATTTTACCCAGTAACCCAACATTCAATATTAAAATGAAGGAAATTGTACTTGGCTGATTTTTACGAAATGTTTAAGTTATATTTAAGTGACATTCTATATGCAAAGAATCATTTAAATACAATTTAAATGTTTATCATTTTGTGAAAGTCAACACAAAATGATAAACAACAAAAGTGTTTTTCACGCAGAAACGGCTGGACTATTATTTATGTGTGGGTTATACTACTTAATATCTCTGAGGGAGAACAAATAATAGACAAATTATTATAATTAATATAATTTTATTTACAAATCAATTAAAATATAAATATTTTATACCAAATTAGGCATCCGAATGCACTTTTTGAATGCCAATCTAAAAACATTAAATTGTATTTAAGTGATTCTTTGCATATAGAATGTCACTTAAATATAACTTAAACATTTCGTAAAAATCAGCATAAGTACAATTTCCTGCATTTAATATTAAAAGTTTGATTACTGGGAAAAATAATTGAATTCTAATTAGGGCCCTGTCTTTTTGTCATTTTTATGAGGTTTACTTGACGAGAATACGACCTGTTCTCAAAATGATTATAAACTATAAAAATAATATTTTGCGATTAAAATTTCTTTATGTCTGAATGCAAAACAAATTTCAGCACCTTTGTATGATTATTTTACCAATACTGAGCTCTACGGACCTTTATATTTTTAGTTCACATGACACAAAGTGTCGCCATCTAGTGTCGAATATATTTAAAGCCGATGCAAAGAGATTTTTCTAGAACTATTTTAATAAATTAGGTGTAAAATTATTTACAAATGAAATGTGATGCCATCCATAACATCAGAGCTTCTATCTGCGTAGTTTTTACACAATAAAACACAACACTTCATCCTTTTCTTCTTAATACTACGAAAATACACCGATTTGCGATTTTTTCAATACATAAGCGCACAGGACGAATGCTAACAGTATACTAACTAAAGCCACGCCCACTATGATGACGTCAGGACCTACTTAGAATCACAGTGCACAGTTGCTTATGCCGTCTCCCCTTTGTATTAGCTTCATGGGCTGTAACCAGCGATGCCGTTCAATCATACATTGCTGGTTACATAGTCCGCAAATTGCGAAAGACTACGAAGTGCGTGAATTGCTTACAAGCTTTACAAATGAAAGCGGGAGATGGTAGACAATTACAGAGAAATGATGTCATTAATAAAATGGATTTATATGGTGGACTCATATATGCAAGCAATGAATTATTTCATTTAACGAAACAATTAGAAAAGTGTGTTTTGAGAACTATTAGTAAAACTCTAACCAATGTTGACATTATAAGTCAAATATCGCGAGAGCTAAATAAAGAAGTTTAGCTAAGAGTAAGTTGCTTTCAACATGAAAAGAACTGACTGTTAAAATTATTTATTTTTATGTAGTGATGAGATCCTATTTTTTGGCTAAATCTGAAAGTAAACGCTATGAAGCTGCCAAAATTAAGACCAAAGCAAATAGGAAAAATGCCAAACTACTGTCATAACTACACATTAACTTGTTATTAATAAAATAATGTTTAACTATAACTATTGTTAAAGAAGTTTATTTATATAATTTCATATTATAAATCGTTGAATATCTGTTTAACCCGCTTGTTGATTTATTTTACATTTACACTGAAAAATGCCAACCTACTATCATAAGTACACAACTTGTTATTAATAAAGAATATTTAACTATAACTATTGTTATCAGTGATTGTTATATCATTTCTATTATGAATCGTTATAAGTATCTAATAATTGTATAATTTATCCATTATTATTTTTGTTTTATATTCTTATTTTTTAATTATCAAACATAGTCATTGTGTTGTTTATAAGAATTATCATAGATAATTTTCTCAGTTTATTTCTAATTTAGAATTTGAAATATTTACAAAGAATTAATTCACTCATCAGTAATATTTATAACAGCGTTTTACTTATTTTCATATTAAAAAATATTTGCATTGTATAATTCTTATACAATCAAACTGTTGTGCTAAGTTCAGTTTTGATAGGTAATAGGGATAGGCTACCACCATTGTGCGATATTATAAAAACATAAAAACGATTGCAATAATTATTGAATGCAATTCGTGTTGTGAGCACTAGTATAGCAAACAACAAGTAATCAATGTGTTATTACTCTTCCTGCGACTCCCGTAATATTATTGTTGAAAATGTAATCGTTTATTTATATAATTTAATAATATAAATCGTTGAATAACCGGCTTGTTGATTTATTTTGCATTTACACCTTATTTATTCCATAAGACTTGTTATTTATCTTTCAAGAAATAAATTTTTTAACAAGTTAAAATAATTTCAAATTTTACTTGTAATTCCCTCAAATTTTCCGCATTACAATTTCTGACTGAAAAAAATAGTTTAAACGTTTGTTAATTTGATTGTATGAAACGACGCTTTTTTAATTTTAAATTTATATTCCCTTTATGATTATAAATCATAATATCATATGTTGCTCCGACCATATATATTGTTTGAAAATTGCGCCAAAACCAAGTGGATTGGTCGGTCCTTGTTTATTTCTCCATCTTATTCTAATTACTTTTGGTGCTTTTTTTTAATTTATCCTATGCTACCGCAGCGCCACCCTTATTGGACGCGTTTTTACGGACACTTCATATAAAAAAATTTTTACAGAGTGGTCCTCCTTCTACTCTATACTCTAAACGTAGTGATTATATTCTCTTTGCTATACTCCATGCCCTTTACAGCCCTTATACTATAAAAAAAACCACAGATTACCGTAAAGAGAGAATTTTTTTTTGGAGTTTATGGCCTGGTATCTAGACCTTTAGGCCAAGTCTTAAGTATTTTTATTCGGTTTATTGTAATTTCCCCACTCCTTCATAGTATACTGCTTCACAATATGTTGATGCGTCACATTGTGCAGTTCTTGGGAGATTTTGGCGGCAACTTGATCCAGCAGACAGCTGATAGTTGGCGATGGTATCTAAAGGTGCCTATGCAAACAAACAGCTTATCTTGAGAATCCATCACCATCAGAGCACTTGTTTCACTGTTTCCACTAATAGTTCACATGCGTAGACACTTAATACACAAAATCGCAACACTTTTACATATCAAAGTCCACTTCAAACCATTATTTAAACAATAATACAGGAGCAGCAAACCACCGCCGGTCAATTTCCCGCCAAAACTCGTAAAGAGAGAATGAACTACTTGTACCATAGATACAAGAAAAATAGAGGATAAGCAGTAAATTGCATACAGATATATTTTTTGGTTATACAAATATCATGCAAACATGAACCTTGCCTACAAAAATATATCTGTCTCATTAAGTACATATCTTAGACTTCAATTTTCTGTTAACAGTTTTCATAATGTCACTAAGCTCCACCTTGAAGCATGACGCCATTTTAGGATGACCGGATGACGTTCATTTGTGGATTTGTGGTAGTTCGTCTGTCATCTAAGCCTTGTTCGGAGTTATTTTGCAGTGTTATAGTGAATTTTGACTTTTTTGGAGCTTTTTTGTTCATTAGTAAAGGATAATTGAGCAAAAACAACATGACAAAGTGTTGCATCAATGGATGTAATTCAAATTCTTGTAAAAATGAAGGATTGTCATTTTTCAGGTTAGTTGTAATTTTTTTCCATAATTGTATATTTTTTCGTGTGAATTGCGTTTCGTGTTCATGTTATGGGTTCTAAATCGTGTTTCCCGCTATTATATAGAATTTCCAATGACTATTATCATGTAAATTTAAACAAGTAAACATTTTGATTGTTTACATTTTTACATAGTGTTGCCCTTACGTGCTGTCATGTTTTGAAATTATCGCTATAAATTTTAACAATAATATTAATGTAGTCCTATGATCAAATAACGTTTTAGATACGTAAACTG